GTTAGCATATTGATATGGATAGAACATAAGCTGTAGAACAGAAAGCAGAGTAGGATTAAAAGGTTTTTTTTCAGGCTGGCAAGATGTGCCATGCCACAGGGATCAGTGCTGGGACCTCAACTGTTCACAATTTCTTTCAACAACTTAGAGGAAGGGAAAAAAAAATTGCCAAATTTGCTGACGATACAATGATAGCCAGAAATGTAAAGAGGCTGCAAAACAATACGGATGAATTCAATGAGGACTAAAAGATGAGGCAAAAGGCGTATGATATGAGAAAATGTGAAATTGTCAATTATGGCAGGAAGAATTTAAAAAAAGCATTTTATCTTGCGCATAGGTTGCAAAGCACTGAGATACAGAGAGATATGGTGTGTTCATGCAGAAAGGTTAGTGTGCAAGTACATCAAGCAATTAGGAAAGCTCATAAAATGTTATATTCTATTGTGTGTGGAATTAAATAGGAGAGTGTGGAGCTTATGCTTCAGTTTGTAGGGCACTGGTGTGACCACATTTAGGGTGCTATGTTCAGTATTGATCACCTAATAAAAGGAGATGCATATACATTAGAAGCAACTCAGTGAAGGTTTTCCAGACTGTTACCTGAAATGTGTGGCTTGTCTGATGAGAAAAGGTTGGACAGGATGAGTTTGGATCCACTAGAGTTTAGCAGAGTAAGAGGCAACTTGATTGAAACTTTAAGATCCAGAGGACTGTTGACCAGGTGGGTGTGGAGAAGGTGTTACCCATTGAGAGAGAATCTAGAACTGGTGACACTGTTTAAAAATAAGGGGTTGCCCATTTAAAACAGATATAAGTCCCCTATTCAATGCCCACATCCAACTCATATCCAACACCACCTGTCAACTCTGTGTTCAATGCCCACACCCAATATCTGTGTCCAACATCACCCAATCCAAACCTGTATTCAAAAGCTGCATCCTATAACTGTATCCATCAACCATATCTAATGCCCATATCTAACATCCATTTTCAACTCTCATATCCATTACCTGTGTCCTTTACCTATATCCAACACTCATATCCAACACTGAATATCAGCACCGGCATCCTATATCCAACACTCACATCTAATGCCAGTTTCTAACACCCACATCCAACACCTCTTTCCAACACCCATATCCAAAACACTTAGTCAACACTCATACCCAATGTTTGTATCCAAGGGTAATATCCAACATCTTTTTCTAGCAAAAGTCTAAAAGTCACAGTTTTGACATTTCCTCTGACCCCTGCCAACTCCCAACCCTCAGCCTTAGGCTTCTTTTGGGGAGAGAGTTGGAGACCTCCACCATGGAAAGAAGTTGGTGGCCTAGTGGTAGTGTCAATGGGCTAGTAATTCAAAACCCATGGCCAATGGTCCAGGGGCCTGGGTTCAAATCCCACCATGGCACTTGGTTAAAATTTAAATGCAATTAAAAACCTGGAATTAAAATCTAGTCTCACAGTGACCATGTAACCATCGCTGATTGTCATAAAAATCCAGTGGGTTCACTAATGCGTTTAGGGAGAAAAATCTGCCACCTTACTGGTCTAGACAACTTGTGACCCAGACCCACAGGTTAACAATTAACTGTTGTCCTAACCAGCAACATGCACATCCTGTGGATGAGTTAAAAACAATCCTGTTTATGTGAGGAATTTGTTCTTGAAGTTACTGGTTTGAGTTATAAGGTTTCCCATCCCTCCCCCTCTGCCCTGGACCCCTGAATTCAAGATAGGTAGACGATGGCCTAGTGGTATTAATGTTAGACTATTAATCCAGAAACCCAGCTGATGTTCTGGGCACCCGAGTTCGAATCCCACCACAGCAGATGGTGGAATTAAGAACCTACTGATCACCATGCTGCCCCTGTGGTCTAAATTACTCTGGTGTTTTTTGAATTTCATTCTTGATCTCAATGAAAAATACAAGCCAGCACCACAGAAACATTGCCCACGAGGGGTTTAACCCCATGAACCTAGCCTCTCTAAAACATCACACTAACACCAGATGCATCTGTTAAACAGTCAGCACAGGCATGATAGGCCCAATGGCCTCCATCTTTCTGTCTCATTCCATCAACTGCATTCAGAAGACACTGAAACCCAAAGACAGTGGCAATGAGAGATAACTGCATCCTCCTCACCAAAATCTGCCACTCTGTGTCCTTTCCCCCACCCTCCCACCCTGCCAGTATCCTCACCACGCACACACCACCCCCGCCCTGCCAGTATCCTCTCCACCCACACACCACCCTCCACCCTGCCAGTGTCCTGTCCACGCACCCCCCCTCACCTGTTCCCCCACCCACCCCAGGTGCTCCCAGGGCCCGGTCCCTATCTGCTCGGGTGGGAGGAGGGATATGGTGGGGTTTGGGGGTGGGGTGGGAAAGCCAAGAACACTGCGTCTGAACGATGATCAATTCTGTGGCCAAGCGATAATCAACAACGGGCAACATTCCAGAACATTCCTCTCGAAAACGGCCCAAAACCTGGGGAACCAGCAACAGGGTCCAATCTCCTGCAATGGCGGCTGTGTTTTATGGGGCGGTTTCCATGGTGACTGGCCTAGTAGCCTCTAAGAGACCAGCACTCAATACTGAAGGGAAATCAGAAAGCTGCCTTTAATTTAGAGCTGAGGTACTATTAGGTGAAAGGTAGTTTGCTGGGAAAATTACAGAGAGAGAACTGGCAGAAGTAAATGGGAGGCTGATTGCCAAATGACTTAGCTCGAAAGCAGCTTGACAGCCTTCTGGGATTTGACTCTCATTGGCAAGTTGCCGTTTCACCATCAATTATCAAATTACCCTTTTATTGAGTGATCTGGGCATAAAAGATCACTCTGCTTGTTGCTGCTATTGTGCACATCTGCTAAACACTTAATCATAAAATGATTTACATTTTCTTCCTCAGCACTGACCCTCTGACATTGCAGCACTCCCACAGCACTGACCCTCAGACAGTGCGCATTCCCTCAATGCTGACCCTCTGACATTGCAGCACTCCCTCAGTGCTGACCCTCCCAACAGCGCGGCACTCCTTCAGCACTGACCCTCCAACAGTGCGGCATTCCCTCAATACTGACCCTCTGACATTGCAGCACTCCCTCAGCGTTGACCCTCCAACAGCGCGGCACTCCTTCAGCACTGACCCTCTGACAGTGCGGCTCTGTCTCAGCACTGACCCTCTGACAGTTCGGCACTCCCTCAGCACTGACCCTCCGACAGTTCGGCGCTCCCTCAGCACTGACCCTCCGACAGTGCGGCGCTCCCTCAGCACTGACCCTCCGACAGTGCGGCATTCCTTCAATACTGACCCTCTGACATTGCAGCACTCCCTCAGCGTTGACCCTCCAACAGCGCGGCACTCCTTCAGCACTGACCCTCTGACAGTGCGGCTCTGTCTCAGCACTGACCCTCCGACAGTGCGGCGCTCCCTTGGCACTGACCCTCCGACAGTGCGGCGCTCCCTCGGCACTGACCCTCCGACAGTGCGGCGCTCCCTCGGCACTGACTCTGAGGGACTGTGTTAGAGAAGTATAACAGCAAAGTGTGAGATTTGTAGCAGTTATGGTCTGTCACTGATAGGCATTGCATATTGGTCTGCCAGTTGTTACAGGCACAGTGTCTGTGAAATGTCTGTCAAACACCTGGCCATGGTTTGGCAGCTCCGCAGACCTGCCTGAGAGAAACCAGGCCCTGCTGGAATGGAGTGAACACAGACTTTCCATCAGCTTCTAGTCCTCCCCACTATCCTTGGTTCCAAACTAGCTGGGTCCTGGTGCTCCCTGATCCCATACTCTCTGAAACACAGTCACTCCCACCCATCCCTTGTCCCCCGCTCTCTCGGCCTTCACTCCCACCCCCACCACTTCCTGCTTTATGGTGAAGTTTCTTTCTGTTGATGCATTGAGAACAGGCCCCTGACCTCCAACAACTTGTAAACAACAACCAGCAAGAGGATGAAATGTTCCTCTTAGGCAAAGGGAATGGATTTTATGGAGCATCTCCGAAAAGGAGACTGTATCAAACTGGGTTTAGGGAGAGCTCGGGCCTAGATAGGGAAGCTGTCAGGGCTAAAGGAAGTTACAGAGATAGGGAAGTTGTTAGCGGTAAAGGAGGTTACAGAGATAGGGAGGGATGTCAGGGCTAAGGGAGGTTACAGAGATAGGGAGGGGTGTCGGGTAAAAGAGGACAGAGATAGGGAGGGGTGTCAGGGCTAAGGGAGGTTACAGAGATAGGGGTGTTTCGATTGGAGGAAATGACAGAGATAGAGATGTTTTGTAAGGGCTGGAGGAAATACAGAGATGGGGGGAGTGTAGGTCTGGAAGAAGGTACAGAGATGGGGGAGGGGTGAGGGCTGGGGGTGGTCAGGGACTGTACCCGAGTTTTTATGTGCAGTGTGTAGCCAATTGATTGAGGTCTGATAGGTTGGTCAGGTACATACATGAATTGGAAGTGGGCAGTTCAGAATGTGAGAAGGTTCCCATCTCTATGTGCCTGCCCAGTTTACAAATAGTGTTGGTGATCGGGGTGCGTGAGGATACAGGTGGCACAGTATCAGATACACATGGGTTTACGCAGAGTGAAGGTTGGGAGAGTAGGGGAGAGGATGTTGGGTCTGGTGAACCTGGGTCCTGAGAGTTCCACAGACTGATACAGGTCCCAGTGATCATAGAGATCACATCAGGATGAAAGATCACATCAGAGTAAAGCTCCTATACTGTCCCCCCATCAAACACTCCTGTTTCTGAACTAAAGCAAAGAACTGCAGGTATTAGAAATCTGAAACAAAAATGGAAACAGCTGGAGAAACTCTCCAGGTCTGGCACCACCTGTAGGTAGAAAACAAAGTTAATGTTTTGACTCCAGTGAACTTTGTTCTGATGAAGGAACACTGCATTCAAAACATTAATTCTGTTTTCCATCCTGTTTTTAGAACAGTACTGAGATGATTTTAAGTTGTATCTTGAATCTGTGAATCAGCTGACCATCGTCATGACTGTGACATCCTGTTATCTTTCAGATTCAACATTCCCTGAGGATTTCTCCATCTTGCTGACAGTTCGTGCCCGGAAAGGAAATGCAGCCTTTCTCCTGTCTCTCTACAATGAACAGGGTATCCAACAGTTAGGAGTGGAACTCGCTCGCAACCCCATTTTCCTCTATGAAGACCAGACAGGGAAACCAAGCCCAGAGGAATATCCCGTTTTTACTGGAGTCAACCTGATTGATGGGAAGTATGTATGCTGCACAGACACTCCTGGGCTGTATACCATAAAACCATTCAGAATAGGAACAGGAGTAGTCTGTTTGGCCTCTTGAGCCTACTCTGCCATTCAGTTGGATCACTGATTCGACATTCCTTTTGTTCACTTTCCTGGGTTTTCTCTGTAACCCTGATTCCCCGACTGATCAAGAATCTATCAATCTCAGCCTTAAATATACACAAGGGTCTCTGTCCCCACAGCTGTCTGTGGCAAGGAGTTCCAAAGACTCACAACCCTCTGAGTGAACAAATTTCTCCTCATCTCAGTCCTAAATTGATGCCCCTTTATTCTGAGACTATGCCTTCTGGCCCTAGACTCTCCCATGAGGGGAAACATCCTCTCAGCATTTACCCTGTCAAGCCCCTTAAGAATCTTCTATGTTTCAATGAGGTCACCTCTCATTCTTCTGAACTCAAGTGAGTAGAGTCCCAACCTGTTTAGCTTTTGCTCATAAGAAACTCACTCCATACCAGGGATCATCCTAGATACCTTCTCTGAACTGCCTCCAACAAAATGATATCTTTCCTTAAACAAAGGGACCAAAATTGCTCTCTGTACGCCACGTGTGGTCACACTACTACCTTGTACAGTTGCAGTAAGATTTCTAATCCCCTTGAAATAAGGGCCAACATTCCCTTACCCTTCCTGATTCCCTGCTGCCCCTGTGTGCTAGCTTTCTGTATTTCATGCACAAGTTCCCCCAAGTCCCTTTGTGTTACAGCTTCCTGCAGTTTTTCTCCATTTAAATAATATTCTGTTCTTCTGTTCCAACTTCCAAAATGAACAACTTTATGTTTGCTCATTTTATATTCCATTTTCCACCTTTGGCCCTCTTACTGAACATCAATATCTTTCTACAAACTGTTTATATCTCTCTAGCAACTTGCTTTTTCATCTATTTTTGTGTTGTTTGTAAATTCGGTGATGTATCAGCTTGGTCACAGGGGCATCTCGAGGGGAATAGTGTTAATAAAAAGTACTTTCATAGTTTTGCTGATTTCTAGCCTTGAATAAGCATCAATTACACAAATTTCTTTCAGGCCCAATCCATGTCTCCCAGTCCTTGATGTCTGCGTGCCTCCTTGGCCAGATGTGACAAATTAACTTGATTTAGACATTGCTGCTTGATATCGAGGTGCAGAAATACTTATCCATTACCTTCAGCCCTTAGCCTGAACTGGGGAGCTCCTCAGTGCATCTAACCTCGCCTGTGGACCCTCTGGGGACAACGAGATCATCAATAAGTTCTTCAGCATTGCTGAATGCGCTTGGCTGGAAATGTAATCATTTTCTCCCTCTCCTTCTCTTGTTCTCTTTCTCTGTGTCTCATCTGACCTCTATCACCCTCACTCACTTTCCTTCCCTCTTCTACTCTCATTTTTACTTTATCTTGCACAATCTGCTTCTAACCCATGCTCTCAATCTGTCATTCTCTCTCTCTCTCTCTCTCTCTCTCTCTCTCTCCCCTCCTTTTCTTCTCTCTCACGCTCTCTATCTCTGTGCTCTGGCAGATGGCATCGGGTAGCAATCAGTGTGCACAAGAAGACGGTTACCATGATCCTGGATTGCAAAAAGAATCTCCAGAAATCACTAAACAGGAGCAAACAGCCCGAGATTGACACAAACGGTATTGTTGTGTTTGGAACGCGGATTTTGGATGAAGATATCTTTGAGGTTAGTGCTTTCTTACTCATATTTCGAAGATACAAATGATTCCCATTGCTTCCTGAAGTACTTGCAATCATTCCCAATGGTGATCCCGAAAGTGTTGCACTCTCTTAACGTGTGTTAACCCCAAGACCCAAATCATTATTAATGTAGTGAGTTGTTGGAGAAGGTACCGGGGGATTTACTAGAATCTTCTCAAATGGTGGGACAGGCACCGAGAGTCAGATGGTCTACTGCTGCTCTGATTTCTCATATGCTTATGAAAGATTTACAAGTACATAATACGATCAAACAGAGTCAGTATGGCTTCATGAAGGGGAAATCATACCTGACAGATTTACTAGAATTCTTTGAGGAATTAACAAACAGGATAGATAAAGAGGAAGTAGGGGATGTAATATATTTTGGGTTTTTAGAAAACTTTTGATAATGTTTTGGATGAGGAAAGTAAATGTGCTATAGCTAAGTTTGCAGATAACATAAAAATAGGTGGGAAGGCAAGTAGTGAGGGTGACACAAAGAATTTTCAGAGGGATATAGACAGGTTAGAAGAATGGGCAAAAGCTTAGCATATGGGATATAATGTGGGAAAATCTGAGATTAAGCACCATGGCAGGAAGAACAGAGGAGCTGAATATTATTTAAATGGGAGAAAGGCTGCAGGAAGCTGGGATTTGGGAATTCTTGTACATGAATCATAAAAATCCAGCATCCAAATTCAACGGGTAATTGGGAAGGCAAATGCAATGTTGGCCTTTATTTCAAATGGAATAGACCACAAAAGTAGGGAGCTTTTGCTGAAACTATACAAGGTATTAGTCAGACCAGAACTGGAATACTGTGAACAGTTTGGGCTCCTTACCTAAGGAAAGACAGACTGGCATTGGAGGCAGTCCAGAAAAGGTTCACTTGGCTAACCCTAGTATGGAGGCACTGTCTTATGGTTGAGTGGGTTGGGGCAGTGCTCATTGGAGTTTAAAAAAATGAGACCTTATTGAAACATTTAAGATCCTTAGGGGGCTTGGCATGGTAGATATGGGGAGGTTGTTTCTCCTTGTGGGAAAGTCTAGGATTAGAGGGCATCATCTCAGAGTAAGGGGTGGCACATTTAAGAGAGAGATGAAGAGAAATTTCTTCTCCCAGACTGTGGTGCGTCTGTAGAATTCTTTACCACAGAGGTTTGTCAAAGCTGGGTCATCAAGTATGTTCAAAGAATAAAGGAGAATAGAATAGAAGTTTATTGTCATGTCTACTTTTACATGAAAAATAGAGTGAAAAGTTTTCTAAGTTTCCTCACCATAGCACCTACGTCAATGACTGAAGTCATGCACAGTATTAAAAAGAAAGTAAAATCAGGATAAAGTCCATCACAATTCAGTTACTGGCGAAGGTCAATTTAGGAACAATGGAATACCTTGAAGATGGAGCCAGGCTGCTGGAATACCTGGGTGCTGAAGACAAAGAAGACGCCAAAGGAGGAATGAGACCCCCACACAGAAACAAGACCACCACACAGGGAGACAGCTACACCGGGCCAAGATCACCTTTCTCCTCCTACAGGTGCCCGGGCCAAGCTGCTGACTTGGCCCAGCCTGTAAGTCAAGGACAGGGGAGGCAAATGCAATGTTGGCATTTATTTTGAGAGGACTTGAATATAAAGGCAGGAATGTACTACTGAGACTTTATAAGGCTCTGGTCAGGCCACATTTGGAGAATTGTGTGCACTTTTGGGTCCCATATCTCAGGAAGGATGTACTATCCCTGGAGTGGATTCAGAGGAGGTTCACGAAAATAGTCCCAGGAATGGAAAGCTTAACATATGAGGAACGTTTGAGGACTCTGGGACTATACTCATTGGAGTGTAGAAGGATGAGGGGGGATCTAATTGAAACTTTCAGAATACTGAATGGCCTGGACAAAATGGATGTTGGGAAGATGATTCCATTGGTAGGAGAGACTAGGACCCGAGGGCACAACCTTAGAGTAAAGGGAAGACCTTTTAGAATGGAGATAAGGAGAAACTTCTTCAGCCAGAGAGTGGTGAATCTATGGAATTCACTGCCACAGAAGGCTTTGGAGGCCAGGTCATTGGGTACATTTAACACTGAGATAGATAGATTATCAAGGGGATCAAGGGTTACGGAGAGAAAGCGGGAGAATGGGGTTGAGGAATTTATCAGCCATGATTGAATGGCGGAGCAGACTTGATAGGCCGAATGGCCTAATTTCTGCTCCTATGTCTTATGGTCTTATGGAGTCAGCACAGGACCTGTTACTCGCTTGCTGGGAGACCCTGGGTTGGGGTGGAACCATGTCCAGCTCGTTCTGGCATTGCTGCGGTTGCTGATGCTGCTGGAGGGTTAAAAGAATAAAAAACAAAGAGAAAGAAAGAAATAGAGCAAAAGTAAAACGAAGGAAAGAAAGAGAAAGAAAGCTGATGGGAGTGGATGAGTCCACTGCCATCTTGAGAAAAAAACGCTCTGAGATAGACAGATCTTCCATCAGTGAAAACATCAAGGGCTATGGGGAAAAGGCAGGAAAGTTGAGGATTTTCAGGTTAGCGATGATCTCATTGAATGACGGATGGGCCAACTGGCCTACTGATGCTCCTACATCTTAGGGTCTTATGGAGTTGACTTATAAAGAACAGCTAAGCAGTTTTAGCCTTCGTATTGTTACGCCTGATTGGGGTAGCATGCTGGAAATTGAACCATGCCATTCCTGGATTCATTACAAAATTAATGATTTTAAAAAGTTCACAAAATTCCCCAATGTACCTGACTTAAACTTTTGAACGGACCTCTCATATGTTAATTCTGATCTCCCTCTCTCTCTCTATGCACCTTCTCTGTGGCTGTAACACTGTATTCTGCACTCTGTTCTGCTCCCCGATACACTTTGTATGGTACAATCCCCCAATTCAGTATGCAAAACAACACTTTTCATTATATTTCGGTACATGTGACAGCAATAAATCAAATCAAACTCAAACTTTCCAGAACCAGGCTGATAGAAAACATGGAGCGGGATTCTGTACTGAACAAGAATTTATTACAAGTAATGAGACTCTAGTGGCAGGTAAAGAGTTACCAACCCATCAGCAGATAATGCATAACATTTAAACTCTATTGCCCTTATCAGCTCCCCCTTACAAACACAGTCGCACGCACACACTCCCATAACAATCGCGCACACACACACACGCACACGTGCGCGCGTGCACACACAGACAAAGATAGAACGTGAACACCAGGAGAAACTGGAAGGGTACTTTAGTTGTTTTTGTTCTAAGGATAAATTGAGTTGGTTCTCGCTGATCGGAAGGTTTCTTGTCTGCTTTCCTTTACTGAATAGTTCCAAGGTTTGCAAGAGGCATAGGGTGGCTGGTTCACGTAGAAAAGTTCTCTGCATTATTAACTAAAGCCACACCTTACAGCAACTGCTAAAGGGAAAATAAGTTGGTTTTCTTCACGTTTTAAATGGCTTTTACTGCAGAGAACGGAGCGTGCTTCTGGTTGCTGGAGATTTGGTAACTTCTTTATACCTTGTTCCTAGCTCCAGGCTATTCAGTTTCTTCAGAACCAATCACATGGTTGTTAGCAGGCAAAAGGCCCTTGTCATTGATATCTGGCCACTAGTCCATTGACCAATTGACATCCTGTTGCCAATCAAGGCTCTATCTGAATAGAGAACTTCTAGTTTCCAGTTTCCAGCTTCTTGCGCAATCAGCTGTTTACACGGTGTTTGCCATGAGGGTCACATTACTTGCTTTTCAAAGCATGCAGCAATTCTTGCTTTTAAACACAGTTCGCTCTTATTTCAGTCCGCAACTTTAAGAAGCACAGAATTAAAATGGCATGATCTTAATACTATTGAAAGAAATAGGTGCAGAAGTAAGCAATTTGGCCCCTCAAGTCTGCCTGTCATTCAGCAAGATCATGGCTGGTCTGCCTCGGGCTTCAACTCCTCTTCGTTAGCAGCTCCTCATAATCCTCAATTCCCCGATATTTCAAAATCTATCAACCTCCTCTTTAAATACTTTAGGCCATCTAGCTTCCACAGTTCTCTGGGGCAGAGAATTCCAGACGTTCAGTACCATCTGAGAGAAGAAATTCCTTTTCTTCTGTGTTTTACATGGGTGTCCCCTTATTCTGTATCTACATCCCTTAGTTTGAGATTAGCCTTGTGGATTCCAGCATTTTCCCAATCATAATATTGGGCCAACCAACCCATAGTTTCCTGCTGTCTGTCTCCCTCTGTTCATGAACAGGCGTGTCAAATTGAAGATCTCTAATCCACTGGAACCCTCATTGAATCCAGTGAGTTCTGGAATATTTCAACCAATGTCCCCACCATCACTGGAGGCACTTCCTTTAAAACCCTTAGATGTAGGCCGTCAGGTCCTGATGACTTGTCAGACTTTAGCCCCATTAGTTTGTCGAAGATTTTGTCCCTCATGATAGAGACTGTTCCAATATCTTTGCTCCCATTAGCACTTTTCTTACTTGTTATCTTTGAGATGTTTATAGTGTTCGCCACTGTGAAGACCAGTGCAAAATATTAGCTTAAATTACCTGCCATTCCCTGGTCGCAGTTGTCAACTCCCCAGTTGCATCCTTCAAGGGTCCCATACTCATTTTAGCTACTCTCTCTTTTTCTTTCACATACCCATAAAAAGCTTGTGCTATATTTCTTGCTAATTTACTTTCATAATTAATTTTCTCCCTCTTTATTAGCATTTTAATATTCTGCTGCTGGTTCCTACAAAATTCCTAATCTTCCAGCCTATCACTAGTTTTGACTGTTCTGTACACCTTAGTTTTTGATTGGATATTCTTCTTGACCACATATGTTAGCCACAGCTAGTTCATCCTTTTTGAGTCCTTCCTTTTGACCAGAATACATTTGTGCTATGTGTTACGAAATATCTGCTTAGATATCTGTCACTGCACATTCATTGACTTTCTCTTAGTCTATTTTCTCAGCGCACTTTAGATCATTCCTTC